CACCAAGATTTGATGGCAGAAGACTACGTGCTCAGGATCACCCACCTCAGTTGGTATGCAAAATTCGCTCATCTCGATCCTCCCTCGCCAGGAGGTGCATATGAGACTTTGGTCAAAGGCTGGAGTTGACATGCAAAGTTACTGTACCCCTCGCTGACTCCCTTGCGGATGTGGTGTCCAATTGTCCAATCAAATAGTATATGCAACACTCTCTCATGCAGTATCCGCCCTGTCCCGAGCCCACTTGAAGCATTGCATCGCTGCACCAAAACCTCACAGGCGGAAGTAGGCAAGCAGACGGCCCGCCGAGGTGCGTATTGCATTGCCAGCGTGGCCCGTTATTGAGGCCAGCAGGTTACCAAGCTCCAATGACGCCGAACTCTAGAACACTACAGGGTAGCCATAGCCCACTTGGCCGCAGTGCGGGAAGATGAGAATGAAGCCACTTTGCGTCATGGCGTTTGTCTGTGTCTTCCGTTTCGAATAACGGTGCGCTTGGGTTTAAATTGGCCCTGTTCTCGATGGCCTCTTATGCAAGACCAACATTTCAACGCACATGAATAAATTCAATATCTGCATCCTTTATCCAAGCGCTTAATTTCGACTACGTGCTAACTAAAGTCGCACAAGTTCTCGAATGTGTCGGCTGTAACAAACTCTTGCTTTGTTTCATCACGCCTGAACACATCGTGCGTTTGCATCGCAACAACAGGACAACGGCTACCACATGCAGGAAATAGTTTGCGAATAGGAGCTCAGGAGTATGTCAAAGTTGGCGAAGCTGCGCTGAAAGTTGTAGACCGCTGCCGCCAGAGGCCACTTACACGGCCCTTATAATATGAACTGCATAGGGGTTCATTTCACAGAGCCGCAGACTTGTGCGGTGTGCTTCAACGGCGTGCTAGCTGCAGCGACGTCCCATAAAATATGCAACCAAGTCAGGCGGTCAACAAAGTTGGTACTGATGTTGTGCACAGCCAGTTGCATCCCCTGTCTAGTGCAAAATATGCGAGCGCGGGGGGTGCATGTGAGAGAATTGAGTTGAGCTGATCTGTACGTAGGATGTGAACAATGATGAAGGACCTTTCATTATGTTAGTGCAAATGACGATGATGATGCTCCGTGTAAGTCGATATGTGAGTTGATCTAAAACCTCCGATCAAGAAGCACGGTGCAGCAACGGTAGAGGCAATGCCGATTGATGGCCTTGATTGGCAGTTGGTTAGATGGGCGACATGCTAGGGGCTTCAAATCTCAAAAGTACGATGCGTAGCTTTTCGATTTGATGCGCTTTGTGGTCCCTCCGGCCTAGGCCCCAGGCTTATGAGCAGGGCTTTTGTGCCTCTTCTCGTCCACACGCAGGCCCCAACAACTGACGAGCGTACACAATTGAATTGTTAGCGTAGTGCCCTCTCGCATATAGCGGGGGCCAACCCGGACTCACTCATAAGAAGCGAGATGACATGGGCTGGTTGGCATAAAGAGCACAATTAAAGCTCAAATTACCACCGTCAGCTAGTGGGGGAGTGCACAAGAGGATAGGGGAAGCAAATCGTTTGTTTGTTTTGATCAGAACGGGAAGATTTCCTGCGCGTCATGAGAGGGGCCGGCGTATCGGGATGTAGGTCAGGACATGGTTGACACTGATGCTGATGCTAGCCTCGAGGTGCCTGTGCCCGATGCGATGAGTTGGCCTGGCCTGGTATGGCCATGTCATGAGTGCTACTGATTCTGCCGGTGGAGGCAGAGAGAGAGGGCCTGAACAAGAGGGCCACTGAGCGGCTGTAAGATGCAGAGAAAACTCATCCATAGGAAGTGGCTGGTATGAGGAACTCGCTTGGTAACGAAAACTAAGCTGTACAGAGTAACAGAGTGCCGTACCCATTAACTAGCCAGGGCTGACGTTGTCTCTGTTGTACAGCGTGTACAACACAACTCACTCACTTGCTCGAGGTAGCCCAGTCCTGTACGAGGCAGGTGATGGGACCCGGGATAAAGCATGCCCACCAGCAAGTGACGGCGACGATCATGACGCTGAATGGTCTGAAGGGGACGGGAGCCAGCGAACGGGTGGGCTCTAGACACAGCGGCCCCAACCCCCCGTCCCAATCGTATCTTGCTTTGGACTTGCTGCAACCTGCGAGTGCCAGTGTAAGTGCCCGTGCTGCGACCTTCGATCTATCTTGGGACAGTTACTCCAGCGTCTAAGTAGATGCTGCTGTCCTACAACAACTGCGGCCTCGAGCGACCTCGAGACTGACCAGCAGAAGCGCTCGTCTTTTTTGCTCCATCGAGAATAGGCCTCATGCCATTCCACCAGAATTCCATGCCATGTTAGAGGTGATCTTCAGTCCAACGGGCGCCATCCCATGCCAACTGCCAGTGCCATGGGATCTCCCCTGGCTGGAAAGAACAGAGAAGTCCCTGGGCCTGAGGGGAGGTCTCAGGGGTGAGGTGGCTTGCGATGGCTTGAGGAGCGTCTGAAGGACGGGAATACCCCTGAGCACTGGCGCTGAGAGGCGCCCAGTGGGGTATCGACGAACCAGGGCTTTGGATGTCCGACTTACATGTCAGTCTCTTGAATAAGATTTCCACATGAACTTTGATGTTGATAGAGATTGATTCCAATCTGGATGATGTGAACCAGAAAAAGCCGAAAACTTTTCACAAGTGGGTAGTTTCTATTGCATTCGTATCCGTATACCTCTTTCTTTCTCCTAAACGGAGAAGAGATGCTGGTCAGTCTGAAGTTTGAGGTTGGCTTCAGGAACCACTCCAGACTCTCTACCCATGGATATATCGTGGCCCTCACTTACAAGAGTCCTAGCGCAACAGGTATGGAGGCTCAACAAGTTCACAGGAACATCCAGTCACAGACAATGTGATTTTCCCTGACGATCAACGATCGTCGTTATTCAATAAGTCGGTTGTCCTACCTACGGATGACGAGGAGGAAGCATCAAGACACGGAGAGAGAATCTCTGGATATGACGAAGCCACAAAGGAATGTGATTGTTCCGATGAACGTGCCATGGCCGATGAGACAGAGAGATCAGTGCAACTCTACCTGTAGAGCAGAGTACTGTAGAGTAAGAATCAGAGCTAGCCAGAGGCTTGAGATGGAAGATGGAAGATGGACGGGCCATGAGCGGGTTGAGTTACGGGGACCAGCTCCCGGCGCCATCCTTGAAGGAAGCCACTCGCTAACAGGGCCAGCCTGGAGGGTGTGTTAGTGAATTGATGTCTGTATGTTGTTGCACCCCTGGCTTTTGTTTGGAGGAACGCGTCTTTTCGTGTGACACTATTCCTCTTTAGGCAAACGTGTAAACAAATGCGTCACTTGTCGCGCGCCCTTACCCCAGCTTGTTGTTTTCCAGCCTCTTTAATATGACGAAGAGATTTTTGAATGGTAGAGGACGAGTACGAATACACAAAACTGAATTTGCCTCCCTGATGCAAAGTACGCGCGTTGCTTCCCTGTTATGATATTGACTGCTCTAGTGATTCTCCCGTTCCTCACCAATTGATATATTGAATATTGGTTGAAGACGGGAGGCTTGTCGACAACTGGAAAACCCCCACTAACTCAGCCTGAACCTACCATTTTTACAGTACAGTACGGGGCGTGCACTAAATCGTTAGCCTACAGCGCCAACACGCGCCATCCCTGGGCTCCCACGCTCCCTATCCCCATGCGTCTATGGCGGACCCTCTCTTCCAACCACTCACTCCAGGCTGTCTTGTCCATCCTCTCTTGCGCGCCCTCCCTTCCACTCTCATCCCATCCTGTCTGTCCGATCTCTCACTAGTATTTTGTCACACCCTCTGGGTCTTTTTTACTTGCAAAACAACTGTGGTCTGTACCAACTTTCCAACACAGACACCAAGAAAGCCCAGACGAGTGCATACCAGCCTGACTTATCACCACCAGTCGTTGTCCTTTCGACCTGATATTCTGAGTCACCAGACCCCAGTTAGAATATCCACGTTCTGCCCTGAGGAAGGGTTCTTGGGTTTCAACGCAGCCACACGAGGGGTATTGTACACGACGGGGCCGATAGTATTATTGCTCCGAACTCTGCTGCTTGTTTGTGGATTCAAACAAACCACAAAAACAAAGACTCGACGAGCAGGAGCAAAGTAAAAGCAGAGACAAGACCGGACGACAACTGCAGGGACAATTTGCTTTTCATTAGTCTCTTCTTTACGGATACACACAACTTTGTTAGTTTGTGTCAGGATCAGTAGCCCATGTCCGTTCAGTTCACGAGCGCCATGGTCCAACTGCCACACCCAAACTAACTAACTAGTTCACCTACCTAACCCAACTCTCTCGTCTTCCCGTTCGTCTCTTCAACCCGCCCACCCCCAACTCCAACCCGGACATCCATCTTGCTTGTACGAAACACGACACAACCACCACCTGCAGCACGACTACTCCTACAACTGCTTAGCAGTTCCAACTTCTACCAACTTTCCTCTTCTACTCAACCTCACATTTTGTTTGTCGACAATCACGCATATTTACTCAACCCTCAACGCGAACTCTCGTCGACCCACTCTTATCTAAGGTATCTATCTGGCTGCCTTGTCGACGACATCACCATTCGGGCACTTAAACGGAAGCCTACACTCAACGCACTTCTGCCTTCTGCCTCCCTCACTTTAGCGTCTGATTACTCTCAGTTGTCGAGTCATGATATGACCTTCGACATCCGAGTGAGACTGGCATAGCTTTTTGCGATTTGTTGGGTATCGCGTCGAGCTGCTTCTCACATCTTCGACTTGGCCATTTCACGCAACACCGTTAACGCCTTGCACATTTGGCTCACCAACGTCCGCAACCTTTATTTCACCTACTGCATTCTTCACCGGCCACTGTATCTCGCACTAGCAGCAAATATCGATAAGGCCTAGTTATTCAACTGTTTATACCCATCAGCCTTACTGCGTCATCTGCTCGCGCATCACCGCAGCGCGCAGCACTTCGCAACCTCACAATGTCCTTCTCGAACAGCAGCGGTGGCACACTCGCCCTACCATCACCAACCCACGCCCACCACATCGACGTCACATCGGCAGTCCGCACTCTCCGACGCTCTATTTCACGATCACCTTCCAAGTTTTTAACGCGTTCCAACTCCCAAAACTCGCTGAGCCCCGAAAGCCCCCACCAAACCTCACCTCAATCGCCTTGTCGTCGATTTGGCGCAACGCCGCAAAACCAACAACTTCTACCGTCCCACACTCGCTCAGCACCTCCTCATATCAACGGTGCCCCGCATTCAAGCGCTTTTACACCCTTCCGCCCCAGCGTTAGGCTCTCGTTGCGTTCCGCCAAGGCCGGTAAGACATCGCCCTCAAGACCGTTGACACGAGCACGCGCTTCTCCTAAGAGCCCTCTCAAGAGGGCACTCAACATGGCTCCCGATAGCGGCAACTCACTACCTGCGGTACCTTTGGCTTCGGTTATCGATGCATCAGGGCAAGAGAACAACGCTCTGGGAGCTACAAGCCCTATCTCTGTCAGTCCCGTCAAGCGACGCAGCCTCACTCTCGACGTCGCTGGATCCTCGCCGACCTCATTTCTCAAGTCTCTTGATTCCAACAATGACGGCCAGACGGTCCCAAACAACGGGTCGTTAAAGCGCAGTGACGCAACCATGAATCTGGACCAACCGAGCCAGGGAAGCCCGGTGGCTAAGCGACGGAGCTTGCATGGAATATCGGGGCTGGGCCAGAACGAGGACCAAAATATCTTTGGTGCCAATACGACATCTTCACAGAGCTTCTATATACATGAAGACTCATCTACCGAATATGAGATTGCGGGTACTAGCGGATCACCATTCCGCGATCCTGTCCCCTCACCAACACCTGCGACGACGAATGTTCCTAAGAGGTCATCGTCCCTACGTAAGTCAACTCTACAACAAAGATATGGGGAGCGAGGATCTTGGGGAAGACGATCCGGTGAACGACAGCTGGCTCAGATGAGCTCCGAATATTCTCCTGTCCGAAGTCGACCTCGCCTTTCTCTGGACCAATTTGTTCCTCCTCCTGTGCCTCAAGAGAGCCCCTTTGTTTCTACAACGCCGACCTCGAAACCACCACCCACTTCCTTCTTTGGCGACAAGGCCCATCAACCACATCCTCTATCGAAGACACTGACGACATCGTCTTCAGGAAACAGCCTAACCGAGGAAGCACCTATTTATGCTCCCGTGGCCCGGATGCCAGATCGACCCAGACCTCACCTTTTCTCACGATCCCTACCTCTCAATGCGACACGACCTACTCGCCCAAATGACATGTCCAAGGCCATGGCGACACCCAGCAACTCGCAGCTGTGGGTGGGCGCTTTCAACTCTACTGGACTTATTTCCAAGGTCAACCGAAACCCCGAAGAGGATGCTGACAAGAAGATGGCCCCTCCCGATACACCATGCAAGAAGCATTCTAACCCGTTCGCTACTTTCCCTCCACCGGCCGGGAGTGCTATGAAGAAGAGGGGTAACAACCGGAATTCTTTTGGCGGTCTCCCTTCCACCCCATTTGGTAACAGTACAGCCAGCTTTGGTAGGCCAGGAAAGGGCATGTCGATATTCCAACGTGGCAGTGCTTCTAGGAGTGCACGTCGCGGCAGTGTCCTTAGCCTGGATGGTGATGAGCACAAGCTCTTTGGTGAAACGATTGACTTTTCGACACCCATGGAAGGCGACGCCCCCCCTACTCCAACCAAGAACACTTTAACTCCCAGCCTTAGCAAGGTCAGCGAGTACTCATTTGAGAGTCCCCATGATAACCATAGCCCGACTGCCAACCGAACATTACACTCTACTACTCCGGTCCTCGGCACCTCTGTCCCTCGAGAAGCAACTTGTAAGTCGGAAGTCCCAACAACTGACGGACCAGCTGGAAAAGTCGACAATCCAAGTCGGCTTCCCGATGCTGGACGTCTGTATTCCCCATCTTCGCATCTGCCTCTGTCTTCGTTTGGCCGTTCCAGGGCTCGACGAGGATTACACTCTCCTTCTCCACTAAGCACAGTTTCTTTGAGTCATTCCCTCAGCTCTCCTCATGAGACATTTACTAAATCGAAACTCTGTGAATCAGCCAGCCCTCTTGATGGACGACGAACACCGCAGACCCCACGCGAGAGTTTGCTGCCTCTCGACACCAGCCGATTGTCTATTTCTCAGATTGGCGATGGCTTCTCTGATAACATGCCACCTCCCGTCACCCCAACAGCAGGACGGGACTTGCGATCATCTACCAGCCTCCTTGTTACTCCTGTGAACGCCCGTACTAGTAACATTGACATTGATGCAAGCCTGTCCTCCCGATTTGACAAAGTCGAGCAGATTGGAAAGGGTGAATTCTCTGTTGTCTATCGTGTCACTCAGGCGGACCATCAAATGACATTTGGCAACCTCAGTACAACCCCGACAACAAGCCCCACTAAGGGCAGAGTCTATGCTGTAAAGAAGAGCAAGCATGCGTTCCAGGGACCGAAGGATCGGGATACAAAGGTCCGAGAGGCCGAAATTTTGAGGACTCTTAGCTACTCTGAGCATGTGGTCCAGTACTTCGATCATTGGGACTACAACAACCATCTCTATATTCAAACAGAGTACTGCGAAGAGGGTACCCTCGACAAGTTTCTGGGCACTGTTGGACGAGGTGGACGACTAGATGACTTTCGCATCTTCAAGATTCTCCAGGACCTGTGCTTGGTAAGTTGTAAACCACTTCGCTACTTTATACCTACTAACATTTCTATAGGGTCTGAAGGATATTCATGATGCAGGTTTCATGCACTTGGATCTCAAGCCGGCCAACATTCTTGTCACGTTCGAAGGTGTTCTCAAGATTGGTGACTTCGGCCTAGCCCAATCCTGTTCATCTGCCGAAGGCGTGGACGTTGAGGGCGATCGTGAGTATATGGCCCCGGAGATGCTCAAGGGCAAATCCTGCCAGTCCGCAGACGTCTTCTCCCTTGGTCTCATCATCCTTGAGACAGCCGCCAACGTTGTCCTACCTGACAATGGACCTACGTGGATCGCCCTCCGCTCTGGAGATCTTTCCGAAGTGCCAAGTCTCACCTGGAATCCCTCTATCGAGGTCCAGCGAGATGCCACTGGTAACCCTACCGAGATTATGCATAGCGATGATTTCACAAGTGGCAAGACACACGACCCAAGCAACTTGTTTGGCCCATCCAAGCGATCGGAACTACTGCAACCTCCTGAGTTTATGGTTAACGCCACCCACAACAGCTCTCTCGACTTGATTGTACGATGGATGACAGCTCAAGAGCCCAGTGAGCGACCCACTGTGCATCAGGTTCTGGAACTTGAGGGCCTGCAGTGGGTTGGCCATCACCGCGCCGCACCGGCAACTGTTTACGAAGGAAACTGGGGACCTGATGAGGAGTTGATCCCTATTTCCATCGCAGAGGGTGGTGACAGTGACACAGAGATGACCGACGTCTAGAGGGAATTACCTGGTTGCATTTCACTCTGAATAGCACTGGAGGTCTACCGAGAAGGAGCTTTTTCCGATTTTTATGGGGAGAAATACGCCGGAACGATGTTGGAGAACCTGGTTCGAACTAGGACCATAACACTCACGACCAGGAGGAATTATGTGCTCTGACGACATCTACATTATTTGCTACTACGACACGACACGAATACCACGAGGAATGGAAGCCATTGACGGGAGATTTATTCCCATGGCGTTTTGTTGAGTTCTTTATTCAACCTTCGATTCGGAGGCTGTCGCTACTCGGCATGCCACGACTGTTCCCCGGACCGATCTTTTTTTCATTTGTCAACTTTTCTTTGTACGCCACAGGGAGCGAGAGCACAGTTTGAAGAATGTGCCCCTCTCAGGAAGATGGCTTGAATATTTTGCGTCTCAACAACGAGACTGCGTGTACCAAATACCCCGGAAAGCATTAGACATGCTGTGGTTACAGCGCATATTGGGTGGGAGTAATAATCAAAAGTTCCGGCAAACCTCTGCAGGATTCAGCAGAGAGGGGCAACAGCACAGGACACAGCATATGGAGGAGCCAAAAAGAGACGGTTGTCTTTGAGAAATGATTGTATTGAGTCATTGGAAGGTGTAGGATTTGCTACATGAGAAGCTGGAATATTGTAAATTATAGTAATGGCTCTTAGAGCAAGCATACAAGCAAGCATGGTGCAAGGATACTTTAGAAGCCCACTGCCGAAGCAAGGCAGAATGGGATGGATTGAAAGGTCACTGGATGGGGGAGCTTGATCTGATAGCTGCTGATGATTCTGACGACGAAATGGCATGAACATGATACGATCAATTCATAATCAACACTTTGCTTTGCCTGTGTATCAGGTTGTGTGTGTATGCATGATATCCGAAAGCCTATGATACTGCAGCCCTTTATCATATCAGTCTATCTATAGCTCCTATGCACGCACCTGATAAAATGGTAATCTACGTAATACATCTAATGTTATGCCAACGCCCTCTAATAACTGCCGTCTAAGGCGGGGGTTTACTGAGGCGGATTCACAATCGATACATAACCCACCAGACTTTCAACTTACACCTCCGCAACTTACCTCAAACTTATATCTGGTCTCACATCAGCACCCACACATACACTAAAACACCTCAGCTAAACAATGACGATCCCCACGCTACTACCAGGACAGGCTGAATTGCCCAGCACTGAGAGCACAAAATCGTACTGGCATCACAAACCCTCTGAGAAGCTCATCGGGCATCGCACCACAGCTGAGCTCCCTTCCACAGCCGATGTTGTGGTCGTTGGCAGTGGTATCACGGGGGCATTTGCAGCGCGAGAACTTATTAAGGGGGGCTGTAAGAATGTGCTGCTTCTTGAAGCAAGAGAGGCCTGCTGGGGAGCTACCGGGAGAGTGAGTTAAGTCTACTTAAAGTCTTTTACACTGGATTACTGATTGTCATCAGAATGGTGGTCATTGCCAGCCTCTTATTTACGCCTCCAAAGCTCCAGTCGCTCAATTTGAACTTGATACCTTTAACTTCCTAAAGGACCTTGTATCAGATCACAATATCCCTTGTGACTGGGAGACAGTTGGAGGGGTGTCCCGCGTCCCTTCACAAGAAATCCTCGACATCGTGACCCGGCATTTAGACCGTCTAAAGAATACCAACCCCGAGCTTGCGGACGACATCAAGGTAATAACAGATCAGGAGCAGCTGAAGAAGCTGCGAGTTTCAGGGGCATCTGCTGCCATATACCAGCCCAACGCCGCTAAGCTATGGCCGTATAAGCTTGTTAGCTGGGTTCTTGAGAGTCTCCTTGAAGCGAACGACTCAAGCGTCTTCAATCTTCAAACAACGACACCCGTGGAGCATCTTCAGCGGATTGGTGACTCTTGGGTTCTCCACACCCCTCGTGGCCAGATAGCAGCCAGGAAAGTCATCCTAGCAACTAACGCTTATACCTCACACCTTATTCCGAAGCTATCTGGGTACATAGTTCCCGTGCGTGGTCAAGTTGCTGCTCTCACCCCTTCAGACGGCAGCTCACCACTGGAGCATAGCCACGTGTGGTGGACACCAGATGGAGGAGACGACTATTTAGTCCAGAGACCTTCGGGTGAACTTATTACTGGCGGTGAGAGATTAGGCTCATCCGATGGCCAAGTTGGACTATCGCGGGACGATTCGATCGACCCAATTATAGCTCACCGATTGCGTGCCTCACTTCATGAGGCCGTCAAGCTAAGGGCACCAGAAGAAACCGAGGACACTTCTCTTCAAGCTACTTATGAGTGGACTGGCATAATGGGCTATTCGAAAGATGGCTATCCGTGGGTTGGCCAACTACCCGCTTCTCTTGGCGGTGAAGATGGTGGCCTCTGGCTTAGTGTTGGTTATACGGGGCATGGTATGCCAGTTGCAGCGAGATGTGGAATAGCGGTTGCCCAGGAGATATTGGGGATCGCGGATGGTGTGAAGCTGCCAGCCCAATATCGAATTGATGGAGGGCGAGTTGATAGGGCTCGAGATATGAAGATACCCTCAACACTGTTGGACGAAGTCATGATGATGATTGGTGATGGAAAATAAAATATGTCTCATGGCAAGGGCCATGATGAGGCCTGTGTGTAACGTTTAATGGAGATAATAAAATGCCTGAAAACCATGAGAGATGCTGCTGTCGCTTATTGAGACAACCTCCCTTACACTAAGAATCTCATGCAAACGTATTGATACAAGTAAACTCTGCTCAGTCTGGTCCTAGAAAGGAGAACTCTTCTGTCACCAATCGTGACATACCTTCGTTATCGATTTGCCTGTACTTCACAGACCATTGCGTACGCAGAGAAGTCTATGATTTGCGAAGTGTTGCAATATATTAGCTTGCGCGCCCGTCGCCACCGCTGACCTACAGCTTGGCGCGCATCTCAAGGCCGTTGCTAACTTCGCGTTTTGCTCGCTCACGTAGAGCCTGACGCAAGATCTTGCCCGACTTTGAGTGACAATATATAAGCCTCGAACTTGCAGCACCTCTTACTGAGAAGGATAATGGACTTACAGGAACTTTGGGGATAGCGTCGACGAAGACCACTCCCCCCTTAAGTTGTTTGTATTTGATAACACGGCTAGCCAGCCAGTCTGCGATGTCTTGTTCAGATGTGTCTTTTGTGTTTGCTGATCTGACGACATAGGCTCGTGGGAGCTCCTCACCGTTGACCATGACCCCAACAACTGCAGCGTCTGCAACATCTTCTCGTTCAAGTAGGAGAGACTCGAGTTCAGCTGGAGCAACTTGCATGCCTTTAACCTTGATCAACTCCTTGACGCGATCCACGATATGAAAGAGAGATCCTTTTGCGTATTCCTCCACATATGCAACGTCCCCAGTACGGAGCCATCGAGTGCCCTCAGAGTCAGTGACGAATGCGCTTTGGGTTGCACTTGGGTTTCTCCAGTAGCCACGCATCACCGTAGGACCCGTGATCCAGAGTTCTCCTGGGGTGTCTGCAGTCGTAATTTCCTCTCCAGTTTCGATATGGATCAACCTGGCCTTGGAATCTGGTGTCAGCTCACCAGCCGCAGAGCTGGGAGCTTTGTTAGGGTCCCACGACAATGCGGTGCAGGTTGCTTCAGTCATCCCCCAACCTTGCCGTACTACTGACTCGCCCCCAGGTATCATCCCGGCTATCTCGCGTTGTGTATCCTTCGCTAATGGGGCAGCACCGGATGCAATCATGTCGATGCTACTCAGGTCGGCACGGCGTGCAAGTGGATGTTTCGACATAAGGACAAGAATAGGAGGAACGGCCAGAAGCTTCGTGATGCGAAAACTCTGAATATGTGCGAGCATTTTAGGAAAATCAAATGAAGGCATGATATACACAGGAACACGCTCGCAAGGGAAGCTGGTGATGAAGTAGCCTTGACTAAAGGCGTGATACATGGGGAGGAAACACAAGGCAGCAGCACGTTGACGGCGAGCTTCGTAGTCGGGATGGAGTTTATGGAAAAGAGTCACACCACAGCTATTCGCAACATGATTGTAATGTGAGATCTCGACACCTTTCGGTATTCCAGTCTAATATAATATGCTATCAGCTTCGCGGCACTTGTTCAGGATGAAAAAAAAGTTGCAAGATTGACTTACAGTACCTGAGCTGTAGTTGAGAGAACAGACAGAGTTATTAGAATCATTTGGCTCCGTCCACTCGAATCTCTCGCCCTCTGGCTTGGACGCAATGAGCTCTGTCCAGTGTCGACTGCCTTCTCTGGGTTGTGTCTCAATAGGTGAATCTGGCCATGTCGAATCCAGCAAAAAGACTTGTGAAGCTTTCATCCCAACCTGCGAGGCAGCAGCTAATGCCACTTCCATGCCGCTCTCCGCGGCAACAACGAATGACGCCTCGCTATCTTGAAGTTGATGGGCCAACTCTCGAGTGACATACCCAGGGTTAGCTCCTGTGAATATGCCCCCGGCCATCCAAATGCCCATCACAATGGTCGGGAAGAATAAGCTGTTACTAGCGAAGAGGAGAAGACGATCACCTGGCTGAAGACCATTGTTGATAAGACCGACGGCGATACGCTTCGCAAACAATCGAGCTTGGTTATAGGTGAAATAACGTTGCTCAGGGTTATCAGCATCGATGAAAGCCTTGTGATCTGGTAAGGGCCCTGAAGGCGAGCCAAATATCCATTGTTGAATCGAGCAATTAGGAACCGACACCGAAAACCGCGATTCGATTGGCATGGTGCGATGTTGTCGACAAGTCGAGATATCGATGTTTTAAGAGGGATGGAGTTCAGTATAACCACTCAGATGGAGTACGAGGTTCTATTTGTTTGTAAGATGGAAAGAGGTCCAGCTCAGACGAGTCGCAATTGCCTACCAAAGACTAGAAGTATCAAGCCAAGCCAAGCTGAAAACCTCAGGAAGGAGGTGCGCCATCTACCTACCTCCTTCTGTAGTTCATTTA